TTTTATTTTTCTTTATCGCCCGTTTTCTCAAAACGCGTTTTCTACAAACCTTTTAAAATAACTCCACCATTGAAGGGAAGATGTTGTACAAAAATTAGTCTGTTGAATTTTTGATAAGTTGAATAGATTTTTGTTGGTGTCTGGAGTGTGGATTTTCTCGGATTTTTTGCAAACTTGAATACTACCTCACGAAAAATTTCATTAAAAGTCTTCTAATTCGTTTAAGAAAAATTCAACAGTTAAATTTGTAGATCTAATGTTTAACATGCATGCAAAAAAAAAAAACATCTAATTTTCTTGAAAAATATGTGTGGTATTCATGACGTAAATCGAGCCAATAAATCCAAAATGGCCTACGTAGCCATGGAAACGACTTTTTTCTCAAATTTGATTGCCGATTTTAAGACTCCTTTCTAAGCTTGTTCTATGTGTGAAATTTGGTAAAAGTTGACCCCGTTAATAAGCAAGATAGCCTTCAGGTGTAGCAGTTTCTAACACGTCTTTAAAATTGATTCCTGTTCATTTTTTCAGTGATATGGCTTTACTGCCTATTGGTTTTTAAGGGTATTTTCAAAACATTACTGATTAAAGTTATGAAGTGAAAGCTATGCTTTTGCACAAAATGATGAAAACAAGTGGAAACCCTTAGTGAAAAGATAATATGACTTGGAACATTTTATTTTTATGAATTTTGGTGATTCTGTTTTTATTGACCCGTATTTTTGCCGTAAACGCTACGTTATGATACGTAACTGTTTACACATAGTACAAAGCTTGTAAAAAAAATTCACCCATCACACAAGAGATTTTCAACTTTGCTAAAGTTCAAGGGAAATGACTGTAGATGATTTCCGCCACCCACTATTGCAACTGTTGCTTCCCTTGGACCAGAAAACAATTTGTGCGTTTATGTTCGCGATAGTTGCAAGCGTTGGCGTCAGGCTGGTTCTCCAACTTTCTTGAAACAGTTGCCAGCGTGAAGTACATTTTGCACCAAAAAAAATATATTAAAAAAAATACTAGGACTTAAAATAATATAAAATCCTTTCAAAATGATATGAAAAAATGTTAATGGTTAAACGTGTGTCTTCTGATGGAACTAAATTTTTCACCAGGCACGGTGAGATTTTTGGCCTTTTAACACCGTTGCTCATAAAGAGCTTTGCCGACAATTGGGACCTTTCTCCAGGCACACATACATATAGACGTGTATGATGTAATTTTGGGGCTCTTTGCTGTTGATTTATGGGACTTGTTCTGTTTATTTGTTAAGTAACGAGAAGCACACCGATACAGTAACTTATATTTCGTGCTGGGAGAAAGTCAGCCGGACAGTCAGAAACAAAGAGTAAAAGTAAAGACGTATGTTATAGCACCTGCCAGTGGCGCCCTTTATTCACCCACGTAGGGATCTTGAATTCTATTCCTTTGCGTAGACATTTTAAAGAGCACGAGCACTTCTACATTTCTTTTTGAATGTTCCCCATGTTTGCTTAGACAATACGAAAATCAAAATACAATAAGTAGGAATGAGTGGTATCATAAGGTTCGTTCTCAATTAAGCAAGTTTTTTTTCTCAGGGAGTTAAAGGCTATTTGAGTTAATTCTGTTGCAGCTTCATCCCTTGTTTTACTCGACTAGCTTCAGTTGATAAACAGGTGCCCGATATAAACAAGGAAACTCACAGGGTAAAATAGGTCATGCTTTCCTTCAGAAACTGCCGTCTGGTAAGCCTGCTTGACCTCCGCTTGAGCAAGGACTACGTACGCGGGAAAGTGGCTGACTATCTGAACCATCTTATTGACCTGGGAGTCGCTGGATTCAGAGTGGACGCCGCCAAACACATGTGGCCCGGTGACATCAAAGCCATTCTTGACAAGGTCAAGGTAAGAGACATGACCCAATGTACTGATTTCACATGACGCCACTATAATTTAAATGTTTAGTCTTATTCATGTTAAAAAGTATGTCGCACTTCCCAAGTTTCACAAGATGTGAGCCTGTCACTGGCGAAGCTGCTCATTTCAACTGTTTTAGGAGCATACGCTGTACATTTGTCTGTCTATAATACAAACGCGCGCACACGCGTGTGTGCGCACACGCGCACACGCGCACACGCGCACGCGCACGCGCACGCGCACGCGCACACGCACACGCATGAGATATCCATATCTTTTTTTTCGTAACTATTTACACTGTGCATGAAGTAAAATTCACGCCTTTTCGTTTTGCAATGTACACTGGGTAGCAAGAATCAATGATTATATAGAGGTCTTACACCATGGTATAAAAATAAAGCGTAACCTGTGCCCTTCCAACAGGTCCTTTGTTTTATTCTGATTGTAGGAAAAATGTTTCTTTGTATAATATTGTTGAGTTGTCGGTTCTGTCAAAGCCGTCTTTTGTCATTGTTGCCCGCTGTCGGTGTTCGTTTCTCTAGTTGCTTGTTTTCTTTTTGCTTGGTTTGTAGTTTAAGTTACGGTTTTACGGCACTTCCAAAGCTATACAAGTACCGAAGATAAGCGGTATTAAGAGAAAGAAACAAAGGAGGGCAAATAAAGACAATATCGGAAAAAAGGAACAGAGCACTCATCAACACCTACTGTTTGGTTTGCAGTAAAAACATGAACATAATTATTTGCTGTGTTATTTTTAGACAGAATTTTATTTTTTGAAACGTAAATGTTGGTGCTCGAGCAAAGCTACACCTGGGTTGTGTGTTGTTGAAGCGCTCATACGACCTTTGCAGTTGCGAGCGCCGTAAAACCCTATACTGCTACAGGTAGTGCTCTGGTGTGGTTTGCTCTTTGTTTTCTATCAAACCTCTATCGTCCTTATCTTCCCTCTTTGTTGTGTTGCTTACTATCTCGTAACATCTGTAATCTCCGGCACTCATAAGGCCTTATTGTATTGCAAGTACCGTAAAACGTTTACTAAAAATGACCTGGGTTGTTGATTGATTTGGGGTTTTGCTATGGCATTTTCCCTGACAGAATATCCAACAAGGTGGTCGTCCCTTCGTATACCTCGAGGTGATTGATTCCGGCTATGAAGCGGTCAAAGGATCAGAATACCTGGGCCTGGGTCGTATCACAAACTTCAAGTTTGGAAACGAGGTCGCCCGTTTATTCAAGTAAGACTAACAACGCTCACTGTCGGCATATTAAAGATATGCCTACTTGCACATATAATATATATATATAATACATCTAACATATTATAGTGTGTGTTAATTCTACCTCCCAGTTTAGTCCCAAACTGTTGTATCATTCTGAAGGAGACAGAAACGAATAGAACGACATTGTTATCGAGGAGTCTCTGCTGCCTTTGTTTTGGCAGTTAATGAGCCCCTCCCCCGTCTCACGCTGAAGACTTAAGTTCGGTCACCGTGTGTGGGAACATGTTAAACCACTGTTTTGATCTTTCTGCTGGGATATGTTTCCCTTTCAACACGGGTAGGCCCTGAGAGGCAGGATCAAATCCTGCCTTCTAAGCGGTCTAAATTATATTGATGGGGCAGTATAACACAGACTACAAAATAAGATAAGCGAAAAAAAAAAGAAAAACATGTTTTTCTCTATTCTTAAATTCATGATTTAAACAAAAATATATGATTTACTCAAAGAGATTTCACTTTTTTCATTCTTCCTTACAATTTGGCTTGGTACTTCGACTTGATTAAAAATGCACTATATTAAGTTGGTTTCTCTCACAAAATATGTAAAATCTTCGGTTCAGAAACCAGAATCCACTGAAGTACCTGGGCAATTGGGGCAAGGACTGGGGCATGTGGGCCACAGGAGACGTGGTCAACTTTGTGGACAACCACGACAACCAGAGAGGTCATGGAGGTGGTGGTGGCGTCCTCACCCACTGGGACTCCAGACCCTACAAGGTAAGCGAGTACATGGTTGTTTTGAGTTTCGTTTTAGTGTAGATAATATGTGAGGCAGCGTGGTAGAATCAGGCTCTCGTCAAAATAATCAAAGTGAAGAAACTTGCATTTTTCCGCAGGTTTCTGAATGGTTATCAATTTTTCGTTTTTTTTTTGGCTCAACACTTTTCATGCTCATTAAAGAACTCCTTTCTGTGTGGATTTTTCTGAAAAATATTGATTAAAGGCACACAAAATGTAAATTTTCAGTTGCCACGGACTCTTAAGCTAAGGAAATAACTCATCTTTGGGGGCCAGTTTTTCACTAATTATGCCTCTGAAACAAGTGACCCCCACTTCCTTCTTTCGCAAATATCTCGACTTGTATTGAAGATAAATGAATATTTTTTTCATCCAAAAAAAGACAAGTGAACAAGCATTAAGATGATACCAATAACTCTACATGCCCAAAAATTGACGAGAGCCTGACTCCACCACGCTGCCTCACATATTTTTTCGCTGCCCCCACCCCATTGACACAATTTTCAAAATTTAGGATTCTGTTTTCGCCCCGACCCTGCTCTCCAGGGCCAACTCTGGCGTCTGTAGACTGGAAGTTTAGGCTACCGTCGTACCAGTAATCGTGACATTGCGGGTTTGGAGAGGGGGGGGGGTGAGCCTCAGCTCAATCTTACGTTGTGTCCTTGGAAAAGACAGTATACACAGATTATGTCCTTTTTGTCACGGTCCTCTCTGAAATGGACATTAAACTCGGAGGTTCCCGCCTCTTTAATTATGAAACACGGAGGTCCCACATCTTTAATAACCTAACAGCGTTGATAGGGGCTTTTAACTGGGAAGCTCCACCTCTTACAGTAGAGCCTAACAGCGTTGTTATGATCGTTAAACTTAGAGGTTCCCACCTCTTAAATAACCTAATAGTGTTGATATGGGCGTTAAATCTATATCACTTCACCTTTTCCATAAAAAGCTGGCCACAGCCTTCATGTTGGCCCACCCTTACGGCTTCCCGCGCATCATGAGCAGCTACGAATACAACCATGCCAATAACTGGGAGGGCCCACCCCACAACGAAGACATGAGCACCAAGAGCGTGCCCATCAACGGCATAATCTGCGGCGACGGCTGGACGTGTGAGCATAGGTGAGTGTTTTCATGGTAAAATTAGGTCTCGTGGATATAGGATGTGTTGGTGTGGGAACTGATGGTCACGTGAAAATTGATGTTGCCAGGGCAACAAGTGGTCACGTGAGTATAGATGAACGTCGCCGTAGTAACGGGTGGTCACGTGAGTATAGATGAATGTCGCCGTGGCAACGATAACATGTAATTATTTGAGCATATTATGTAAATGTTGCCGTGGCAACAATATATCGTCGTTGCATTCTGTCACTGACTCAGTCTGTAAACTTGAATAAACGCTCAGAGTAATTTACTTCGTGTGATCACACGTTTGGAGTCTGCATGCACAAAAGTGAAAGAGATTTGGTTGGGGGGGGGGTCATATTATTTCTTTCTGAAACTAAGACAACAGCAAAAATATAAGCCGCTCAAAGCGTATTCACGTCCCTCAGAGGTATTGTCTAATACATGTACTAATATTATGGAATTGCAAGGTCTACAACACACACGCGCGCACGCACACGCACACCCCCACACATACACACCCTCATTCACTAACTCGTTCTCTCCCACGCACAGATGGCGTCAGATCTACAACATGGTAGCCTTCCGTAACATGGCGAGCGGCAAACCCGTGAACAACTGGTGGGTAGGGGCCGACTATCAGATCGCCTTCTCCAGAGGAGACAGTGCCTTTATCGCCTTCAATCTGGAAGGTTATGACCTCGACAAGACACTGCAGGTGAGACAAAGGCTAATGTAGCAGGTCTTATTTTTCTTTATTTTTTCCAAAGATATTATTTGTCTTGTTCTCATTCTCTTTTCGGGAGGGGGGCAGGGTGTGGTTTATTTCACTTTACGGTGCACTTGACTGTTCTTTCAAAAACGCCTGATTATTCGGAGTCGTTTTCAAGATATTCAAAGAATTGCATTCGAAAAAGCAGGATATGTTGTGAGAACTGAACATTTTTTACGTCAAATTTCTCAAAACTGAGAACTGAAAATATAGAACTTTGGAATTCTGAGTAACTGAGGTATCGATTTGTCCACCCCAGACCGGTCTACCTGGTGGTACCTACTGTGACGTCATAACTGGCAACCTGGAGAATGGTGAGTGTACTGGTGAGTCCGTGACAGTCGGAGAAGACGGTATGGCCAGAATCCACGTCAGTCACAGCAGCCCCGACCCAATGCTCGCCATTCACGTTGGTGAGTTGAACTTCCTCTTCCTCTTCCTCTTCCTCTTCCTCTTCCTCATCATCATCTCTTCCTCTTCCTCTTCCTCTTCCTCTTCCTCTTCCTCATCATCATCTTTCTTCATGCGTTGTTACCTCTTCCTCCCCCAACATTTGTTCCATGCTCCTCTCCTCTCCTCCCATATCCTCGGCTTCCCATGCACTATCATCTCCTCCTTCCTCTTTTTGTTTATTGTATTCCTCTACGTAGTAATTATGTTTCATTCTTTGTAAATGTTGTAATGTTTTCTGTGCTTTTTACTTTAATTATAAATGTTTTGCTGATATTCTTTCAAAATAGCAGTAAACAAAACGAACTAATATACATGTGCACACACTTATTAACACAGAAAAGCATTCACATACACATACACATATAGGCACACACTCGTACACACACGTGCACACACACACTATACTCTCTCACACACATGCACACACACATACTATATACACACACACTATACTCTCTCTCTCTCTCACACATACTATACACACACACACACATGCTATACACACACACGCACGCACGCACACACACACACACACACACACACACACACACACACACACACACACACACACACATACTATACACGCACGCACACGCATACACGTATACACGCACGCACACACACATACACACATGCACGCACGCACGCACACACATACGCACGCACGCACGCACACACATACGCACGCACGCACGCACACACACACACACACACACACACACACACACACACACACACACTTACACACTCACACACACACACTTACACACTCACACACTTACACACTCACACACACACTCACACACACACTCACACACACACTTACACACACACACACTTACACACACATACACTCACACACACACACACACATACACTCACACACACACATACACATACACTCACACATACACACACACAGAGTGCAGTTCCACTCGCTCATCGAAGCCTGTCGTGACAATGTGTTCACTCTCCCCAGGTGCCAAAGTGGGCTCAGCGGAGAAAAGACACTGAAGAAACAGTGAAGGAAAACGGTTTTTTGTGAATTTTTTTTCTTTTTTTTGTCTCGTACTATACTTGATTTTCTTTTCTTTCTATTTTGGGAATAATTCATTTATTTCTGAATTTTCGTTTTCAAAATTGACTGCATAAAATAAATTGTTTTTCATAATAATGTTCTTATCTGTGTTATTTGGTATAATAGTAATGATAATAAACATTAAAATTTTTGCCTTTAATAAACGGTAGTTGTTTAGAAAAAACAGAGCACAAATGTAATTTATAGATAAAAGGTGTTGAGCCAAAAACAAATTCAATATAAATTGCTAAACTGTCAGGAAAATGCCGGCATCTTCGATTTCATTATTTTGACGAGCGACTGATTTGACCACGATGCCTCACATGAGCTTAATTTAAACGCCCTTATCAACGCTATTAAGTTATTTAAGATACCAGTCCTCCGAAATGTACGTCCGTCTCCAATAGGACCGAGTCAAATTAGTTGAAAGTATTAAATCCCACAAAATGACTTGAGTTCAAAAGTGTCCAGTCTGGGATTCAAACCAGGGACATCTCTTCTGTAGTACGCAGGCTGCCTACCTCAGTTTCTTGTACAGATAGATTCAAGGTGAATTTCGGGTATTTTAGCCAAAAATTCAGATACTACAGGGGAAAAAAGGGAGAAATAAGAATATTATCCCGGTACATGTAGTTACCATCGGAGGGGGGCAGGGTGTGGTTTATTTCACTTTACGGTGCACTTGACTGTTCTTTCAAAAACGCCTGATTATTCGGAGTCGTTTTTCAAGATATTCAGAGAATTGCATTCGAAAAAGCAGGATATGTTGTGAGAACTGAACATTTTTTACGTCAAATTTCTCAAAACTGAGAACTGAAAATATAGAACTTTGGAATTCTGAGTAACTGAGGTATCGATTTGTCCACCCCAGACCGGCCTACCTGGTGGTACCTACTGTGACGTCATAACTGGCAACCTGGAGAATGGTGAGTGTACTGGTGAGTCCGTGACAGTCGGAGAAGACGGTATGGCCAGAATCCACGTCAGTCACAGCAGCCCCGACCCAATGCTCGCCATTCACGTTGGTGAGTTGAACTTCCTCTTCCTCTTCCTCTTCCTCTTCCTCTTCCTCTTCCTCTTCCTCTTCCTCTTCC